ATCCTAAGAAATATGGACCTTTTTATGCGGATGGTTTCGAACTTTTTTTTTTTTTTTTTTTTTTTGGAGAGGTTTTTCACTATAGTGCACGTGCGCTCGCCAGACAGACAGAGAGAGACATAGAGACAGAAAGCGAGAAATCACCCCCCAGGGGGGATGGTCACGCCACAATCCCTTCTCCTCCATTCTCCTCTCGGGATCTTGGGCACGCACACACACGCACCTGGCATGAGTTTTAAGCCACCAGGTCCGGGATGCGAACTGTGGTCGACTACGTGGGAGTCCAGCGACATAGCCATTATGCTAACTGCTGGTTCCCAAGGTTTTGAACTTTCAATTGTTACTTTTTATGTTAAGTCTTATTTCTGTACATAAAAAAAATGCATGGAGAGAAAAAGTATTTTTTCAAGTTGTAAATAATTTATTTAATATTTAATGGAAGTGTATTTATTTTATAGCTCATTAAACTTTTTTTAATCAAACAGATTGAGAGTTTGAATATTAGTTTTGAGATTGTAAGACTCGAGGGTATTTTTCTGCTAACATCGGGTTGATCATTAAAATAATTTCTTCCCTGCTTTAACTGTTTTTATATTGATTTTTTAAAAATTATTCTTTCTTAGAAAGCATTTTTAATTGTAAAATTATAAACTAGAGTCACTGAGTTCTCTCAGAAACACTAGTCATATTTATAATAATAATCTCCAACTAGCCTTTCTTATTTCATAGAGGAGCTGGCCTCTCTCATTCCATGGAGGTTTTATAACAAACTCATTAATTATAAAAACATCTAGAATCAGATTTGGCACTGCCTTTCTGTTACTCTAGACCTAGTTATTAAAAACCGAACCCATTACCCATCATTATATTCACCACAGAGACAAGAATAGGTTCGAATATTACAAAAGTGGCATTTAAAGAGAGCCAGGAAGTATTTACACTTTCCCTAATGTCATGATATGAATGTATGAGGTACCTAAAACACATTTCCCCCTCCCCCATCATTATTTTCTTACAGTATTTTAAACAAATGTATATGTACATTTGTTGTGGACACTCTTTGAAGAACTTTAAGGTTATGGGATGATCAGTCTGGTGCTTGGCTGATCAGCTAAGTTATCTAAGTGCAAATCAATCAAACATTGTAATGTGGGGGGGAATATTTTAGAATAATTAACCAATAGAAAGCCTAATACCAGCAACTATTTTGTAGAATTCATTAATGAAAGGCACAGTAAGCACCAACACTTCCACCCTCTAGAACACCAATCACTAAATCCTTGTGCAGTGTGATTCTCTGAACAATTGGTTCCCAGCCTCAGGGGCATATGATTATCACCAGAAGAGTTTTAAATGTTTAAAGACCCAGAGGTTCCTCCCAGACCTTTCAATTTCAATGGACTTTTGAAATGAGCTGTTGACATCTGTATGTTTAAAAGATCCCTAGATATTTCCTATATGCAGTCAGTGTTGAGAACCTGGGGTTCACTTCTGCTTGCACATATTGCTCAGCCTCATTACCTGAGTATTTATTGCAGATGATTCAAGTATAATGGTAAGGATACAAAACAGAAAAGCCCTGACCTTGAGATATTTACCACCTAGTGCAGGAGGGGGCATGCCTTATCAATGCAGTGCAGTAACTAATTGGCTGAGGTGAGTCTTGGGATCCATGGGAGGAGCCCAGGCAGTTCTCAGCTATCCCTGAATAACCCTGAATGATCTGGGAAGGGCTTCTTGGAGAGAGGCAGTCTGATACCACCTTTTCAGGAAGAGTAGGAGGTATGGAGAGAAAATTGTTACATGCATAAGCAAAACTTCAAATTCACCAAATGCTATGACCTGAAAAGGTAAGATACGAAAAATAGTTTTCTCAAGACAAAAGGTGTGATGATGAAAGAGTCCGTAAGGAAGCTGGGATGGTGAGGCCCGGGTCAGATAGGGCCTTTCTCTTACAGGACAGGCCACGGGGAGCAATAGAAACCAGCTGACAGAAAAGTGACCAAATTTATGTTCCAGCTAAGTCATTAGGTCACTGTGTGAGGGAAGAACTTGAACCAACACCAGAAGTCAGAGGATGGGCTGTTGAAATATTCCAGGTGAAAAGTAAAGAACAACTGTAGTTGGGAGAAACCCAGCATGGATTTAATGTTTTACTTAGAGATTCAAAACTCCCAACCAAAGTGATTTGTTATGAAAACTAAACTGAGAGTAATGAGATAATGAAGAAAAGAGAAGTCTAAAATAACTCCCAGGTTCCTGGCTTCAGTGGCTAGTAACATCATAATTTAATGTAGGGAATCCGTGGAACTGACTTGTTGAATATTTTACAAGGGAAGTGTGGCTTTTCATTTATCTTTGACTGAAGACTAGCTCATCTCTATTTTGTAAAGTTACCTTTTCTAATTTATAGCAGGTTTATGAGAAAATAGGTACTAGCCTGACCAGTTAGTCAACTGAATTGACTCTGGTCCTTACCTTCTAGCTGAGATTAAGCACTGAGGGGAAAAACACCAAGTCTGCAGGTATAACCATGAGTTCAACTTTGGACCCACTGAATTTGAGATGACTGGAGGTATTCAATAGCAATTAGGTTTACAACTCTGAAGCTAGGGGAAGAATTATAGGTTGGGAGTTATAAAAATATATTTGTATTGAGTGATCATCAAATAAGTAGAATCTAGGAAAGCCACTATGAAGGTTCTAGGTACTTGTCTTCTTTCTCAGGTACTTTTCTAGCCCTTAAAATTAAAGTCTATGAAGTCATTATAGTGAAGTAAAGGGGGAAAAATGACTACCTTCATTATATGAATAATAATCTCAAGTTTATTGAGTACTTTGATAGCCCATAGATTTTTGTAAGTGCTTAACATCTAGTAACTCATCTAATCCTCACATATTCATAGAAGGTAGATACATTTTACCCATGAAAGGAGGCCCAGAGATATTGAGTGGCTTATGCCCGCCTAGCTAGGAAATGACAGTGTCAGATTCTCTGACCACAGAGCTGTTCCACATAAACTCTTCTTTCTATGCTTCTCTTAGACTCGGGGTGTTTGTTTTGGTTGAGAGAATTCTATCTGCATACCAATTTAGCATTTATAAGATATTTAAATAGCTGGTTCATATCCTTAAGACCCAAATTAAATGACGCTTTTTTAAATCTGCCAGTGCTGTCTCCACAAAATTTCCCAATCTTTACCATCTCTCATCTTTTAAAATGTGACTGATATCTTGTGGATGATGTGTACACACTGAATGATAAAAAGGAAAGAGGACATATCAGTCAAATCTTGGAGACATACAATTAATGCTGGATGTTGCTCTTTAGCCAAAATAGTGACTCCATGTACTAAAAAGGCTGTCATTTAATTTATTAGATAGCATCGACACATGTGTGTTTTGCTTAGGAGCAAGGCAATTTATGAAGTGCTAGTTGGTTTAGGTTCAAATATCAGCATTCCTTTTTAAGGACAAATTCCACTAATTTTAGGGTTGGATAAATTACACTTAGTATGCTATTTTCTTCCATTTATGTTCTCAGAAGCCAAACGTCTGGAGTCAGATTTAATTGCCGAGTGCTATCTGACAGGTTAAGTAAGGAATGTGTACTAACAGCATCTGTTGTGTCTCTAGCATCGTGGCACCTTGGGAAGGGAGCACAGTATCACAGCCAGGTCCTCCAGGGGTCCTCACCTCAGCCAGTCATCTCAAAGGACAACTGAATATTCTCCCCACTTGTCTGTGTTGCAGTTCAAGATTCAGTGCTTATTCTATAAGAGGAAAATATACTAGGTAGCTCAAGAATCATAAAATTTGTGCAGCTTATTTCAGCTTAATTATCTCTTCTTCCAAGATGCCTTTCCCCACTCTTCGACTTGCCTCCAGGCTAGGTAAAATTCCTTTGTTACAGACTTTCATGATGCTTATTCAGATTTCAAATAAACACCTATTTGTATAATTTTTTACTTCTTATCTTCTCCCACTGGCCTATAAACTCCCAAGGAAGAGATTAAGTCATTTTCACGGTTCAATACAGGGCGAATGAAGAATGAATGATCAGAGGGCATCCAATATCATTGCAGAAACTATTTTGCAACTGGAGTCGTACAGATTTGAAATGCTCTACAATGTTTTTACTCACTAGCAACAATCCTTTTATGGGGTATGGAGTGATAATAACTTCTCAGTGAACCTAATGCTCATTTATCTAAGAGCGTATAAAAATAAAAATAATGTTCAATCAATTTTTTTTGAGAGGTTTTCACTATAGGGCACGTGCGCTCGCCAGACAGACAGAGAGAGACATAGAGACAGAAAGCGAGAAATCACCCCCCAGGGGGGATGGTCACGCCGCAAT